AGTAAAAAGGGTCTCCATTTATCTGCATTCTATTACACGATGATATTCTGTGACAGCGTGGTCCTTCCCCGTTCGTGTCGACTTATTTGTACTAATAGCATAATTGAACGATATTGAATAATAAACAATAATTATAGCTTCAGTTGGAAGAAGCTGCTACAGTCTGCAAGTTATTTTAGAGTAGAACATACTTGTCGTATGATCACACTGAAATTCACATTGTACTAAAGATTTATTATAACTTTTATTTTAAAAACAAAAGCGACTCTAAACTGAACTCTTGATATACAGGTATCAGCATTGTTACTCACTATTATAGCAAATTTACTAGTTTTAATGGCCTTACTCATTAGCACTATCCCAAGGACCCCTTTATAACACAAACAGATAATAACAAAGGGTTCAAACAAAGTTTCCATACTCGTGTTTGTCACTCAGTGTAATGTGCCTTATTTATTTTTCATCTTTTTGTTGTTTTGGCGTTTTTTTTTTCACCTAATAATATATTACTTTTGAGCTTATCCTATATAGCTTCAAAATCTTTATATCCTATTAGAACCTAGAACCATGACCTCTATTTTTATAAGCAAATAAAACTAGCATAGCACTAACCTTGAAATTAGCTAATTTGCCACAGAATTAATAATGGTTATGCCATTTATTATAAGGAGTATCTATAGTTTTATCATCTGGTTGGGCTGTATAAATATATAATTATAAATGAAAATGAAAAATAAAATAAATAATAAATAAATAAAAACCCAACCGGATGTAAGCCCTCAGCAGGGAGACCAAATGGCCGAGGGTTAGGGGGAAAGGGAAAGAAACCGGAGGATAATGCGGGCGGTATCGAGGAGCACCGTCTTCTGCATTTAAGCTTAAAGCGGTCTTTCACGGAGTCCCAGTCACCTCAGATATCCCGAGAGGCTAACTGGGATTAACCCATTCGCAGAAACGTCTACAGGTATAATTCCGGTCAGCAGTCGAACTCACATGTCACTCACCTCGTGAGCCACGTCCAGATATTCGCTTATCTGTTTCGGCTTTCACGAGGTTCTCGTCAAACGGAATGATAATGTCAACCAAAAATATCTTTGACTGTGCCCGGTCCATCGGTACAATATCAGACTTATTCGCAGGAATAGTCCTGTCTGTGATGACGGCCCGGTCCCTGTATAGCCTATCGCGGTTATTTTCGAGGACGGCTTTCGAAAGGACTTGTAATACGGCAATTTCCGGTCCACGAGACCGTATTTCAAAACGAGCTCCTGGTGTAATATTCTGGCTACTAAGTTGTGCCTGTGCAAGTACTCATAGTTAAAAAGCGCCGAACTGCCGGCGACGACATGCCTAAGTGACTTACCCGGATGGCGACAAGCTCGACAGATGTCGACGGTGCCATCCCTTAGGATGTATCACCGATAGTTGTTGGTCTTAAAAACCTCATACTGTATCGTACAGACAAAACCTTCGGTTTCTCCAAAGAGGTCACCAAAACGTAGCCAGTGGAGGTAGGCAACTGTGTCTACAAAAGGCTCATGTAGAGCCTTGTAGAACCTTCCGCGGACCTCCTTCTCCCTCCATGCGGTCTCCCGGTCGGAAATACTCTGTACTGCCGGGTCATCCGCCATGTTTCCGCGGCAATGCCAGCCTCATAATCGACGATCTTGGATAATACTTCCTATGGGACGTCATAGTAGTGCGGACTTTGCTATCCAGGTCGTTAAGTTTAATTTGAGTCCACCTAAGTATTCCAAAGGTACACATGAATACAGGCATGACCCAACCGTTGTATTCATGTGTCTTATTCACACCGGTCAAAAGGCTGGTAATCACTTTGGTTAAGCGTGCATATAACACATCGCAATATGACTGTTTCATACCCATCTCATCGATCTATCGAATAATTTGAGATCATCCATATAGAAAAAAGGTGGGTCACTTTTGTACCTCCTTTCCGAAATCCCCTCCCGGAGTCCTCCAGTAAGGTACTGAGAGGGTTCAGGGAGAGGCAAAACCAGATTGGACTCAAACAATCGCCTTGGAAGATACCCCTTCTTATCCTTATGTGGCTTACCGCAGATGTGATGCTGCAGGAGCAGGCTCGCCGACAGGAGGAGCAGGCTCGCCGACAGGAGGAGCAGGCTCGCCGACAGGAGGAACAGGTCCGTGAGTTGAATGAGCAGCTGCAGAGCGGACAGGAGGAACAGGTCGGTCATTTGAAAGAGCAGCTGCAGAGGGGACAAGAGGAACAGGCCCGCCGACAGGAGGAACAGATGCTCCTCATGAAGGACCTTCACGCTACCTTCGGGAAGGAGATAAAGGAGGTGAAGGATAGGGTTGCTCAGAATGACAAACGCCTGTCGGAAGCTGAAACCCAAATCGCGAAAGCTGAAAACCGAATCGAGAAAGCTGAAACCCGAGTCGACCAAGTAAACAATCGGGTTGACAACGTAATGGCTGACATGAAGAAATCACTGGACGAACTCAAACTTGGAGATAGAGCTACAGCTCCCGTAGTAGCTACAACACCTTCGCTACGTGGTGCCACCGTTCGACGGTACCTCTTCCTGGTCAGCCTACAAAATCCAGTTCGAGGCTGTTATGAAGGCGAACGGCTGGAATAAAAGTCAGGCCACGACTGCTCTCACACTAGGCCTGCGCGACCAAGCCTTAACAGTTCTGGAAGCTCTCGGTGAGGAAGTGACTTATGAGCAACTCCTTGAGGCATTGGAGGCGAGATATGGTGACGCTCACCTAGAACACGTCTTTCGTGCGCAGCTTAAAGATCGTGTGCAGCGCATCAACGAAAACCTGCAGCAGTGGGCTCTAGAAGTGGAGAAGCTGGTGCGAAAAGCATACCGGTCTGTACCTGCGCTCATTAAAGGGAACCTGGTGCAGACATTCATCGACGGCATCCGCGACCTGGAAGTCAGAGCTGCTGTGAGGCTCGGGCACCACGAGACGCTTAAGGACGCCTTGGCCCATGCACTGGAAGTGGAAGCCGTGCGGCAGGATCATAGTTCCCATCTCGTCAGGGAGGTTGCAGCAGCTACAGTTCGCGACCGCAAGAAAGGATACAGCCCAAGGTGCTATGGCTGTGGGGAAAAGGGCCATCTACGATCCAGCTGCCCTAAGCGAACCCTAAAAAATAAAATGAATGACGTTTATGAGCACGTCAGACAATCGGGCCAGCAAATGTCTGAAAAGATGAAAACCCGGTATGACCGCAAAATGAACAACAAAGGGTTCGACGAAGGTTCACTTGTGTGGTTGCACAATCCAGTCCGCAGCAAAGGGAAATCTCCTAAGCTTCAAGCTAAATGGGACGGCCCGTGCCGGATTGTGACCAGGATCAACGATGTAACCTACCGGATACAGAAAGGCGCAAGAGGGACTCCTAAGATCGTCGAGATCGTCGTCGAAAGAACTAAACTTCTTGAAGTTTAAAACTCGAACTCTCGGTACCTTGCGCGTGTTTACTTGAACATTCTGGATATTTTGCTAATTTATATAAGTAGGCGCTGCAAGATGCGATCGGGCAGAGTTGAACTCGGCGACACAAGCGAAGCTTCGGAGCGGAATTAAGTGAATTAGTGTGTTTAATTATTAGTGTTTCTAGTTTTAATTTGTGTAAAGTAAATTAAAGTGTTAATTTAGGTAATTTTATCGGCAATTTTTATTGTCACGAACCCTAAGCTCGTAACAATATTTTAGGTATAATGTTTTAAAATAAAGTTATCAAACTTAGTAAAGTTACAATTCAAAGGTTTAAATTAAGAAATATGTTAATTCTTTAGCAAAGCTTGTTGAATATTTTAAAGGCTAATAAATATTAGGAATACAAATAACACAAGACTCATGATCATAAAATTATTTATTCTTTGTTTTGTTGAAATCATTACATTTTCATTCTTCATGCTTCATTATTTTCAATTAATATAAAATCTTTGTGACTTAGAGTAGACATCTATTTTGATTTATTTTGTAATTTTCTTATAATGGCAGTAATTGCGGGGATGAGACTTCTTTTAAAGGACATCATCTTTTTTGGTCCAAATATCAAAGTGCCGGCCAATAAAAAATACGCTGTATTCCGTTAGAACTTGTCCCCCTGAGTATTTATTATCATGACACCAAAGCTGTAGGGTCATTGTCCTTGGTTTTATTGGAGTTCAAAAATTCAACATCTTCATACATTTTCAGTGAATTTAATAAACAAAAACAAATGATTTGTTCTACCATATTTTTATTTTGAACATCGTTTAGTAAAAAATATATTGGTTCTTGACCTATTTCTGACGAGATAACATTTAAACCACTAATATTACTGCATAATCGGCTGGGATGCCGGGACTTTTTCCTAGAAAATGGCAATAACAATTGCCGCGCAGGTAAACACTCACGCGAACAATGGAATACGGTGCAGCGAGCAGATGCCCCTCTCTTTCCCGTGAACTACCGCCATCGCGCCAGGCTCATTCGTTTGCTAGCATTCGCGTTTATTGTTTAGTACCGAAAGCAACGCTGCCGTGTATGTCTTTGTGATGCCCACTAGTTCTTGTGCTTTGATTTGTTTTGTTTTTGTTATCTCCGTTGTTAAGTTTGAACATTGCTGCGAGTCATGACAGAGTTGTGTATCGCGTGCCGTGCATCGACAGAGAATCGGCGAAGATATGATTGGGTTTCAGAGAAATGCAATATCTTGATATCGCCCAAATAGTGATAGAAGATATAGTAGCTCGACAGTTGGAGCCTACTGCGTTCATTTGTCGACCCTGTTGGCAAAGAACGGAACGAACGCACCAGCGACTTATTCGGGAGGCCGAACAGCAAGCTGATCAAGACCGTGATCCATCGAAAGTTCCAAATTCAAGACCAATTTCGCTGATTTTGCCAGGTCTTCTTCGTGCTCCAAACACCGCAAATAGTTGCATTTTCCTACATTGTACGAATGAATCTCGCCGTCGTGTTCCAGAGAACATAATTTTTCGCATGGTATGCCGCTACAGCTATTTCGTGCCAGAAAGGCGCGTGTCTGTAATGAACACGTGGAGCAAAATCTGTGGCATTTACTTCCTGTAGAAGACAACTCTTCTGAGGAATTCACTGCAGCTCAAATAATGACTATCGTGTCGATGTTACAAAGACATATTACGGAGGAAATACTTGATTTTGAGCAGTATGAAAATATAGCACCAGCCGAGTTTCATACTTGGACAGGACTGACTCAAGATCAGTTTACTGAATTATTAGACAGTTTACCAAGTCTGAGAACTAAAAAGAATAAAAGAACCGTACTGGCGGCAGTATTAGTCAAGTTAAGAACAGGTGACTCGAACGCGCGGCTTGCTAATATTTTTAAATGTAGCGAAACAGCGTTTCATACTCGTACGTGGTTAAAAATCGGACCCAACGCTCCGTTAGAAGATTTTGTGCCCTTAAATGTTGGGTTTGACCATATTTCCCGTGAGGATGTAGCACACAGGAATCTTTTTCTACCCAACAATCTGTTTGGGAACCCATCGAGCCCAGAAGATGAAAGGAAAGTTATCACGATTTGTGATGGCACGTACATCTATCCATATCAAAAAAGTGGAAATTATTTTTTCCAACGCAAGTCTTACAGCCATCACAAATACAGAAACCTCCTAAAACCGTTCCTCTTGGTTTCTTGTGATGGACACATTATCGAAGTTAACGGACCATATGCTGCCACCACGTCTGACGCAGATATAATGAATGATATGCTTAATAATGCTGACAGTGCCTTCCACTGGTTTTATAGGAGTGGCGATGTTTTTATTCTGGACCGTGGTTTTCGAGACTCAGCAAGAAATCTGGAATCTTGCGGATACGTACAACATATGCCCCAAACAAAGTATCCAAATGCGACACAGCTAACCACGGATCAGGCCAATAAGTCCAGACTGGTAACAATCTGTCGTTGGGTGGTTGAAGTGGTCAACGGCAGATTCAAAAGAGATTTTCGCCTGTTACGAAATGTATATAATAACAGAGCTCTTCCCAGCATGTTCGACTATTTCAAGATAGCAGCGGCGATGATAAATCGTTTTCATGTTTTGATTGAAGATAATCAAAATGCTGCTGCGATTTTAGAGATTATCCACCAAAGAATTAATATGCAAAATAGATTGGCAGATCTTGTAATGCGCCATAACTACAATCGCAGATGTGCTCAGTTTACTTTAATGACTGTAGATATGCCAGAGTTTGTAGATTTTCCAAGAATTGATGAGAACGAATTATTATTATTCGCTCTGGGCGTTTATCAACTAAAACAGGCCAAAAGCTATTACGGTGAGTACGTCCTTGACAATGGAGCATTCACAATTGAGCTCAGCAATGAGTTATCAAATGAAGACTTGGCGGAATTGCAGGGCAATGATTTATGGATGATAAGAGGCCGACTGCAATCGCGGCATGTTAGAGCAAGACAGTATTATGTCTACATTATAATCGGTAGGATAGGATCAGGCCGACAAGCAATCGCTCACTATTATTGTTCGTGCATCATATGAAAGCGAACAATTGGATGCTGCTCCCATATTATGTGCATTATATGGTACATGAGCCATGCACGACATTTGCCAGCAATAACCCCTCCAGCTTATGGATTGGAGAACATTATTGTTGTACCAGACGATGATGATTTTATAGTGTTTAATTAAACAAAATAACCCCTGTATACATATATTACTTATAATCCTCAAAAACACAAAACAAGATCAACATGTCCAAAATATGTCAAGAACCAATATATACTAAACGATGTTCAAAATAAAAATATGGTAGAACAAATCATTTGTTTTTGTTTATTAAATTCACTGAAAATGTATGAAGATGTTGAATTTTTGAACTCCAATAAAACCAAGGACAATGACCCTACAGCTTTGGTGTCATAATAATAAATACTCAGGGGGACAAGTTCTAACGGAATACAGCACATTTTTTATTGGCCGGCACTTTCATATTTGGACCAAAAATGTATGAAATCCCGATGATGTCATTTCCTCCAGAGATTACAGCACCTCCATTGCCGGTCTGTATTGTCCAGTTTCACAATTTGACTTAATTCTAGACACATATTTTTTAACAAATGCAATCACAAGCGAAGTAATTATATAATAAGATTTAATACAAGCAATGTATACTTAACTTAAATATTATACAAAAGAAAATAAAGAAAGAATTAGAATAATAGAAAAAATAAAAACAAGGCAAAAATATGCTTAAACTAAATACAACAATTGCTATTAAATGACATATTGTTTAACAAAAATTATTAACAGTTTAGTGATATAATAAGCAAAAGGTAAAAGAAAATATAAGTTAATGTAAATCAACTTAAAACTAAACAAAACAAAAGAAAACAAATTAAAATATAAATAAAAACATAAGTAATTAATATAATATTTCTATAGTTTGCACACTGTCTATATAAATTTTAATTTACTATTTTACAATGACACTTACATGAATTATTTACAGTAGTCTAGTCGCCACAGTAAGATATTGTAACATTTAATGTACTGTACATTATTTAAAGGAAAGGCATGAAATAATAATTTAAACATTTATGTTAATAATATTAAAAGAGAGAAAAAAAAGGTAAGTATATATAGAAAAGAACTTATCAGCTATATAAAGTCTACTAAAATTAATTAAAAATATAAAGTGGATCACTTCACTTCTTTGTTATATCTATGGGATAACTAACTAAATTAGCATTGACAAGTAAAATTTGTAACATGGAAAGAAGAATGCAAAATTAAAATAGGATAATAAAAGTGGACCTTATAGCTATAGGTACTAAATCTAATATGTAAAATTAACAATGTGCAAAGATGTTGTAACAAAAATATAGAAAAAAAATAGGTTGGGTATGAAATAAAGTTAAGAGAAGAAAAATGTAAAATGGATATAAATCAGTGTATTCCTAACCTGTTACGTGAACGACAATTTTTTTTTTGAGCTAGTGTTTAGATTAGCTAGCCACTACACGTAAAACAAACTTATCACTGAATAGCGAAAACTATTAAAAAACTGCTTTTCTAAAGAATTTTAAATTTCACCCACAGTAAGAGCATGAGTTTGTCCTCTAAATACAAAAAAATGAAGGGGGTCGTTACTCAAAAATAAAAGTTATTGGAGTCCAAACAAACAGGATGTGGGACACCAGCTGCAATAGTGTGGTTATTCCGAGGATATACACTTCCGGCTGATGATGCATATATTTTCGGAAAGAGCTTTCCGAGACGCCGCAAACGACACCTTCAATTCCAGCCGCAGATTCCTGGTTCGCGAAACCATCTAACACGTGGTTTTCATTTTTCCCTATAACTCAGATGTCTTCTATCCAAAAATTCCAAATTTTTGGAGGATGATGTGTCCCCAGGTGGCGCACAAAATTACAAAAAAAAATAGCAGATTGTGGCGAATAATCGAGCGCCGCAAGCGATTTTTGAGACTGTTTTGCTAATATGAGAAAAAACGGTTTTTCACTTAAAGAATCACTAAAAATTGTTTTGCGGCTATATATATATATATATATATATATATTTTTTTTTTTTTCATTTCGTATCTTTCTTATGTGCATTAGTGTAAAATAAAGAATATATTGATTGATTAATCAGTCTTTTTATAGGATATAATTCGGAGAGTGTACCTACGAATTATATGACCTAATTACTATTAAAAAGTTATCTCAAACTTATAATTCATAAATAATTTACGTTCCTTAACAATACACATACAATAGGATGAATTAATGAGTGTATTAAGATACAGAAAAATAAAAAAGGCATTATTATAATCTAAGGAAAAAGTACGGAAAACTAATATACACTTAGCAAACAGATGTTTTCACACTAACTATAACTCTTCGCTAGTTCGCCATTGTCTTGCGTAATGCGATACATTAAGCATTCCTTATCTTTATCTTAAGCAGTTAACATCCTTCTACTTTTCCTACTTTCTTCTCAGTTAAAAACCATTCCTTAATTATTTTCAAGGAAGCCATTAAAAATATTAACTATAAAATTAAATCAAACTTATAAAATATTTAAATCAAATACTAACTCACTGTAATCGAGCTGAAGAAATAGGTATAATAAAATACAGTCAGAAAATTTTACAAAGCAAAATCATGAGAATGTATAATTTCGTAGACAATTTAAATGCATGCTTGGACTGCGGCTATCTAAAATTTAACAACAGCCTTTATTCGGAGTCTTTTATAGAGTGGACATGTCATCCATCGTATTAAAATATATTCAGGATCGGGCAGTATATACTAGCGCATAATTTGAAAAGCTTCATTGAAATAACCTAAAATAAAATGATTTACTTTTAAACAAATTTATTTCTAATATAATACGGACGACCCTAAGTGTATGGATTTAAAATTACAGAATATGAAGCTTTTGTAAAATTAAATATTTTTAATAACCAAAAGCGATATAGGATATTAAATATACTTGATATATTTATTTACGACAAACATAGAGCAACACAGGCCACAAGTGGACTTATGGGGAGTAGTCAGTGTTTTTTCCCGAACCTGAACTGTCAGTAATTTTCGAAGAGAAATCTGCGCACACCGAAACAATTGTCTGTCATTACGAAACTCACACTTCACAATTAAAACAATAAAACTTGAGTAATTACATACATTCGTATGCAAACTATTCTGAGCCGTTCTTATTGTAATTTTGACGTGTAAAAAGAAGATAATAGCTATAACGTGATTGAATATTACTTATTTGAAGGGGTAGACCTCTTTTTGCAGCAAAAATAAACTGAACAATTCGGAATTTTTGTAGGATGTCGATTCAGTCACACAATCTAAAAATAGTCTAGTGAGCAAAGCGGCTGCAAGTAGTTTTATTCTAAACATTTTAAATATTGTAAGGGGAATGACTGCATAGATCTACTCCCCTGTGTTCCGCCGGTGGCCAGTGGTGCTCTATGAGTAAAACGGACTATTTGATAGCATTACTGTTGGTGCAGATAGTTATGTTATGACAACCTTTTATCAGCATAGTAAAGTTAAAAAATATCTACGTAAGCAATTTTAAGTCTTTATTGGATCAAGGCATTTTATTTCCGATTGTACAGAATCAATGCTACAACTTCATAACCTGTGTACTATAAATTTAAGTTCAAAATGCTTATTTGTGGGTAAATTAAACAAAGGAATGACTTTCAATAAATATTATTTAAAATCTATATTGAATTAAAAAATACATATTTCAATTTGTAATGAAACAACTATGAACTTTTATAGCTTAAATATTTATATCGTAAGATGATAGGTTCAAACTAGTAGCGATTACCGAATGATGAAAAGTACACTGAACCTTAAGGTTAATTTTGAAAGGTCACGTCAAATGAAGTCAACACTCCGTTCCCTCGTGCACACACAAATTGTGCCCCATTCATTTTCAGGCAGATTTGGGTTTGACGTTGCGTCTCCTCATACAGACAGGGCATCATCGTGGGGTCTTCAACACAGTCGCACATAGTTTGTAGAAAACATCCTCGATCCTTTGGCGCATTTCGTCAGCACTATCACACTCTCGATTAAAAACACTTTCTTTCACATGCCCCCACAGAAAGAAGTCTAACGGGGTCAGATCCAGCGATCATGAAATAGCTAAGGCGCTTACGGAAGAATCTTACGACATGTGGAGGTGTACCATCATGTTGGAATCATCTGCGGCGATATTCAGCCAATGATAGGTCATTTAAAATGTCGAGAAACTGTTAATTTATGAAGTTTAGATATTGTTGTCCGTTAAGTGGCTGTGGCAGAAACACTAGTCCTAGTATGTGATCCTTAAATAAACCTGCCCATACGTTAACCGACCATCGGGCTTAGTGCCCGGTTTGTCGAACAGCGCGCGAGTTAACCTCGGAATACACGTGTGTATTTTTTCGATTCCAAATCCAAACCCCCGAAAACTTTGAACTCGAATCACAAAATCATTTTCAGTACCCGGAAGATTTAAATTACAGTGTGTGGCGGCGATGTCATCGCTCCATAAGTAAAACACATCGAAGCCTAAATCGCGCTATCAAAGTTCCAAAGTAAAAACAGTATATATATATAATAGCTCTGACATATCACACGGAACGTTGGCACCTCCCTGGGCAGAACACCTTGCCCGGCGAAAGATCTTCCCTTTTCCTTCCACGGCTACAGTGGTAACCCCGAAGTGATGTGAATTGTGAACAATGCAACCAACAGCCTTCGGAAATCCAACTTCAAGACTCCGTCATTATCTTCAAGAACCCCTACCATCAACTCCTGAGAATCGTCTTCTGCAGTCTTCAGTTCCTGCAAGCCAGTCCAACTTGTCTTCATCTCGACTCACCGCAGATTTATAAGGCAGACTTGTGGCAGTTCCTCCGGGACATCGGTCTCACCGGTATCACACGTACACTTACAAGTGTAAGTAGTACGGCATTCATTATACACCAGCATATCGTTCACGCCGGCGCGGCGTTTAAGTTTAAG